TAAAGAAACAACTCCATCAGGCCATACAAGAGATCAGGTCCAAAATAAATCTCTCAGGGAAAAAATGAAATGACAATATAATGAAAGAACTGCTCAGTACATCTGCAGAAGAAACATATAAAAAAATAGATGAACATAGGCAATGGACAAAAACATACAATGAAAAATATAGAAATGAATTAGAATGCATGAAGCAGATTCAAAGAGATATCCAGGAAATCAAAGCTTCCATTGAAAGCTGGCAAAACTGCTTTAATGAAGCTGAAGATAGAATTTCAGATTTTAAAGACAGCATGGCAGCTAGTGCTCCTGAAAGAAAGGATCTCTTAAAATCAAAAAAGAACCAGGAAAAATCAATTCAACAGCTGCAAGACGAGGCAAAGAGGAATAATGAATGGCTGATAGGAGTCAATGAAACACTAGAAGGCAACACAAACAACAAAAAGAGAATATTTACAAAAATAATAGCCGAAAATTTCAGAAGCATGGAAACAGAAACTGACATACAGGAAAATGAGGCATACAGAACTCCAACTAACCATAACCAAAATATAACTACACTCAAAATATATATATATATATAACTACACTCAGACATATAATATTCAAGATCCCAGATCTCCAGCAAAAGAACACAAGATAAAAGCTTCTAGAGAAAAGAAACACATTACCCATAAAGGAAAGGTGATCAGAATCATGGCAGACTTCTCAACACAAACCATTCAATAGAAAAGAGCTTGGGGCGAAGTATTAGAGGTCCTGAGACAAAACAGCTTCCAACCAAGGCAGATATACCCTGCTGAACTTACCTTCAAATTCAAAGAAGAAATAAAATTTTTCCATGACAAAGAACAACTGGAGAACTTCATGAGGACCAAACCATCATTGGACAGAGTACTAAAAGACATTCTAGCCAGAGAAAAACACAATTGCAATTTCAAGAACAATAGAAGGAACTGTCAAGAAGAGAAAGTAATTAAACTGGTAGAAGAAGTAGTAAAGCAATGCAAGTAAACAACATGACAATGATAAGTCAGCACATATCAGTTATAACCATAAATGTGAATGGCCTCAATTCACCAGTCAAAAGAAACAGACTGGCACAGTGGATTAAAAAACAAAATTTAACAATACGCTATATAAAGGAAACACATTTTACTCAAAAGGAAATCTACAGACTGAAAGTCAAAGGATGGAAAACAATCCTCCATGCAACAGGAACCCAGAAAAAAGCAG